TTATATCAGGTCTTACTGTTTGTAAAATACGCTGCTTAATTGGTAATTGGAGAAACAAGGTTACAGAAAAGAAAGGAAAACCTTCTCTATACCAAGTCTAAAACATTGTATTAAATTGGAGGAAAACAGAAAAAAAATCTGTTTTTTTCACCCCGTTGTCATTCAATATATAAGATGAAGCACTGTACTTCCCAGGCCATTTTAATTGTGGTTTAAGCCACCATATTTAACATAATGTTATTACTCTTTGTAATGATGCCACATGGAAGAATGATGCCCCTACTGATATATGTATATATATTGTACCTAGGTAATACACAATGTGCAAAGTTATTCTGGAAACTGTATCATCTTCGTTATTTCTTATTATTTCTACCACCGGTATATCTCGGAGAAAAATGGAATTCTGAGAATACTGACTATAGAAACATGTAGAAAAAGGAGATCTGAAAAGCTACCCCGTTCTGAGTGTTCTGAAATCATCAAAATTTTGTTTTACTCAAAGCCAGCCAATAAATCTCATAAGAGGAAATTTTCAGGAGGAAAGAAATGAAACAAGATTGTTGGAGAAAAGAATTACTTCTTTTAATGTGCAAATCTGCAACCTTCAAATAGTTCTAAGGACTGTAGAATGAATTTAGGAGTGATCTGGAGTAGATGAGTAGCTGCACTTTTCTTTAATGAGCCTGTACAAACTGTACGTTAATTTCATTATAAGCTATTTAAGGAGTAATGCATAACTGAAGACAAAGTATTTCCATGCCATTAATGAAAACAAAGAGCTGTTGGAATTAACATAAAGCAGCACTTCAGCAAATTCAACTATCATGGTTGATCAGTGTTGCTTGATTAAAGTTAGATTGGCCTCATTTTCAAGTAATGTTCCTTTGTATTCACAAACATGCCAAAAAAGAAAAAAAATGTTCAGCTTAAAACAAAAGAAATTAATAACTAAATCGTTTAAGTGGCATTCAGAGCTTTATAGCTAATAATATATTCCAGTTCCTTTCTTTCATAACACTTTATAACATTTGTTTCCTGCCATGTATTCAGTAACAAAAGAACAGCTCATGCAAGCTTTCTACTGTGCGCCTCTGCTGCATTTTCCTCCATATTCCAAATAACTCTGTTCGGGTCACCTCTGTATACCATGGGTATTCCTCAGAGACTTCTCCAGGATTCTTAGGAAAAAATCTTTACCCCACTATTCATTGTTTCTATTCTGCTAAGTATTGATGTTTTCCTCTAGGGTTTTCAGGTAAAAGCAAAAAGATTCTTTAAAAAATAAATTAAAAATAACAGAAAAATTTGGTCATATATTAAGTGCTTTCAGAGAAACAGAGAGCCTGTCATTTTATATACAGAATAATTAATAATTAATTATCTGTCTTTGAATTGCAAAATGATTGCAATCCTTGATTAGAACTGTCAGAACCTGTAATTGCAGTAATGTGTTATTAGTCTATCTGACTCTGCCTCTCATTTTTCACTGACTGGCCAATGTACACAATTCAACCTTGATTCTTATTTTTCTAGGAATCCACCCCCAAAACTGAGGCAGCCTGAGCTGTGGTCAGCAGAATTCAATGACTTCATTAGCAAGTGAGTAACATAGAGTCTTTTTTAAAGACTCTTTGAAAACACCACTGTGCGTCTGAGTATCCTATTTCTTCTCATCTGTTAAACAGTCCCAGAGGTTTCCATTATTTTCTACAAAAGAAGCAGCTATAGTGTCTTGTAAATGTTCGGTGGGCTCATCACTGCTCAAATAATGATCTTAGGGTCTTGCTTAGGTGAACGTTTTTAATTTGACAAATACTTAGCACAAGTGCAGTGCCTCCAGGCAATTGACTAGAAGCTAGGAGTCTGCCATTTCTAAAAATCTGTCCCACAAACGTTTTTTCACAATTTTTATTATGTCTTCACCTTAAACAAGTAAGGTAAGGGACAACCCCTGGTTGTAAGTGGGAAAGGAGTTGATAGGATTTGGTGTGCAAACTGCACCCAGAAAATGTAGAAAGGGCAGAGAAAGCAGCTGTATTCATGCATACTGCTATCATTGGTTTTCTGACCAAGAATATGTGTTTATTCTTCTAAAAATAAGAGGTTTAGGTTTAGGAGTTCGTGAAAACTCAAGAGGGTTTGATAATCTTTTTTTTTAAGTTTTCACTTAACCAGACATTACTAAGCATCTGTTATGCACTACATATTTNGAAAATGTAGAAAGGGCAGAGAAAGCAGCTGTATTCATGCATACTGCTATCATTGGTTTTCCGACCAAGAATATGTATTTATTCTTCTAAAAACAAGAGGTTTAGGTTTAGGAGTTTGTGAAAACTCAAGAGGGTTTGATAATCTTTTTTTTTTAAGTTTTCACTTAACCAGACATTACTAAGCATCTGTTATGCACTACATATTTAATAAACTGCAATCACATTTCTCAAATCTCAGGAGAATCGTTGGTAACTTTGAAGGAATCTCCACGATTCACAATCTGCCCCAGGTCTGCAGAACCGTCCACAAAGACCCTCAGTGGAACTTGGTGTTTTTGACATATTTCTCAGTTTCGTCTCTGAGAGACATTTCCTGGTTTCTTCTAGGCAGTTCGTGTTCTGTCTTGTATAGTATTGTATTATGTTCCTCTTCCTTTAATAACATCGCCAATTTTATTTAGCTTACCTGTTTTTACGTCTTTCTCACTAACTAGACAGTAAGCAAATCTAGGGCACTGAATGTGTCTTACTTGTCACTGTAACTCCAGTGTCTAGCAGGATGCCTGCTATACATTAGCTATTTCATAAACTTTTACTTGAATTAAATAAATTTATATGCAGCTCTTCTGAGTACATAGATACAAGTGCTACAGAGGTCAGAAAATGATGTATTCTGTTAAACTAAATGAAAACTAAGAGAACTTGTTCTTATTTTCAGACATCATTATCCTTATTCCTTAGAATATTTTAGCATCCCTGGGAAATATCTTTTTGGTTAAGCCCAATGAAATAAGTAGTCAAATTATCAGCCCAGGAGAGTCAACAATACTGATTACAAATAGCACTGCTCAAGCGAAGGCATGGGTTTATTCTGCTTTTTTGTTTTGTTTTTAATCTCTCCAATGACAGCCTAGTTTTCCCATAATTATAGATCCCCTGAATCTCAAAGTTGGAAGCATCTTGGAAAGTTATATAGCCTGAACTTATATCCAGAGCTTAAATCCTTCTCAAACATGTGCACTGACTGGCCATGGAATCAATACTTATACATCTCTAATAAAAAAAAAATCCTACTTCCCAATTCAGCTCATTCGTCCTTGATAAGCCTCACTCTTGAAGAAGCTTCCTTGCCCTGACATGAAATCTGTTTCTCTCTTTTGCCTCTTGTGACCACTGAGAACTAGTTTAATCCCTCTTCCAAATA